GAAACCACACCACCGTAGATCCCAGTTGGCTTTTAACATGCGCGGATAACTACTGTCGGGGAGCCTGGATCAAGCTCAACATCTATCAGCAATGTCGGGCACCAGCACTGCGCCCAAGCCGCCTCAACTGACAATAAGGTGGAGTGATCAAATGGCTGCCACGGGGAAGATACGAGGAACGGGAGCACGGTAATCAACACATGCTAGAAGTTCCATGACATGTTGCTGCAAGGTATCATGCAAAGACAATAAAGTTCCGAAGACGGGTTCGAAGGGAGAACGAAAGGAGGGATCTTCCACATCACCAAGTCCAAAAAAGTCCAAAAATCCCGACTAGATTTTTGCTGCCAGGAATGCCTATAAGTTGGTTGCACACATACCCGTGTCGGACAAATGTTGAACGCGAGCCATGGGTTTCGACATTTGGATCCCACAAACGATCCACTGCGCGGAGCTCGATCTCATAGGTAACATTACTACAATTGTACGGGCATCCCTGAGATTTAGGATCTAGCGTTGGCCTGACAGGCGCAGGTCCGTACCACACATTTGTTGAAAGAAAGGACACTTCGCAAGGCAACATGGTGGGGGCAAGCGATTTATTTAGTGCTACGAAACGCCAGAAGCGGCAGACCCCTGATATCAGCCGAGCTGTAGGGCAACCGTCATGAGAATATAGCTTGTCTCGATCACCTTGATCCAATGTAACGAAGATTTCCCGTATGAGTTCCATAGGCAAATCATTGATATGGGAGTTTTTGAGGTCCTCTTGGGTCTCATCCTCCGAGTGTGTTAAGACTGCTTGGTGATTGGAATCCATGAGGAGAGCGTTGCGAGACGATCACACTTCAAGCTATGGAGTCCACTGAAGCAGAGTCGGGGCGGATAGATACGAAAAATGACAAGCGCGAACTGGCGCGAGAACTGAGAGAAACAACGGAATTTCCCGACCCTAATTCGAAGCGTTGGATATTCTCCCTTCTGCATCGGAGGAATGTTGAGCGTGGGCCATCTGTTCTTATCGACACACACAAATCCCGCTGTCCACTGCGTAGAGTCCAATTTCACAAATAACATGATTACGATTAGACAGGTATAGAATTCATCCTGCCAAGTGCAGATCTAGTGTGGATATTTTACATTTGGCGAGAGAGAAATGAAAGATTTCGTGAGGGAAATAACTGGCTCCGTGCAAGCATAGGGGCGTTACGGGCAAAGCAAGATGCGACCCATGGGGCTTGGAGCACTTTGCCATCAAGATGTTAAGAATAAACGATCACTCTGCTCGGAAATGCCTTTGGGAGATCCTCAGTGATCATGAGCGTACTCCGAGTGTGCGGATCAGACTCTACCGTTCCGACACGGATGAAGATTTCGACCTTTAAGAGACACGGACGAGTCGTAAGGAGCTCAGTGATGCACTGAGAGAGGCGTTCAATGGCCTGGGGCTCGTGTAGTAGGGAAATCGAAAGGAACATGTTCCGGAGATTGGGACAGTGGGTTTCTGAAGGCGGCTGGGCATTTGAGTGTAGTGGCTCAGAGGTCGAGGTCGACAGCAGAAACTCCAGAATTTCGATATGGCCGCCTTGCCTGATTGGGATCGACAAGCGTTCCAGCATGGAGCAATGAACAAGGCACCTCTGTTTGAAGAATTCTGAACTTTGGATCATCCCGATTTTTAAGGAGATGAGACCCCTCAGAATGCCCTTCCAATGATACCATGCCAAACCCACGCCATCGGACCAGGATAGGTCTGGATGTAGCACCTGTGATAAAAGGCATTCAAGGTGCTTGAGGCGTGGAGCCATCTTGCATGGCAACTTGCCTTGGCCGGGGATGACCAGACTTTCAAGCTGCGGCAATGAAGCGGGGAATATGTGTGATAGGTTTACACTAGGGGAATACATAACAGCGTAATCGAGAGCCTTGAGATGGTCGACGTTACGCAGGAGACCCGCTGCCGCACTATCGGTGTACACGAATAGCGACAGATGCTCGATCTCGGAATCCGACGTGAAAACGGGAAGGGTTTCATGTGAGGCGTGAAGACTGAGATAGCGAATGCGCTTCGGTAAGCGCAAGTCCACAGATTGGGACTGGGTAGACCTGGTCAACGACCCCAAGACTATCTCAACATACTCTAGCGATCGAAATTCGCTCGGGAAAGGGATCCACTCGTTCGGTAGGTTGAAATCAGAGTCCTTAAGGCAGAAGGAACCGCAACGACAAAGATGTGGCCTTGCGATCTCTTTGACACGTTGACGAAACTCCTTAGTGGACGTTTTGTCAAAGACCAGCCTAAGTGCCAAACGCACGCTCTTAGATCTCCCTAAGTATTCCGAAAACCATCGCAATTTCTCCTCCACATCCTCACTCCTGGGGCCAAGTCGGATTTTTGCCCATAGACGAGGCTCGTTGAATGCTACGAAACGCCAGAAACGGCACACACTCGAAACCAATCGAGCAGCGTGACAGCCGTCGGACTCTGAGCGGATTTTGTTCACCGCTTCACTGTGCGCGACCTCGACGAATATCTCGCGTACGATATCGATAGGGAGATCATTGACCCGGAAATACTCAAGAGGTGAGCTGACCCCGTCGGCATGGCGCTCAGGTTCCATAGGAAAAACAGAGCAATGCTGTAAGGAAAGGTAGTCTAAGTCAGGCTTCCATTTCGAGGGGGTAGGAGTTGCACCTGACAATATAGCAGATTTGGGGGAAACTACGAGCAGGGCCGTAACCTGCTGTGATGAGAGTGCCCACCGGTTCAGGTTATATGTACGAGAATCGCTGGAAGAAAGGGGCATCGACATGCATCCTGGAGCACAGGCTGGGATCTATATAATGATACGCAGGCGCAGAAGCCGAAGTCCTGCCTGCTGGACTCGCGCACGCGAGTTGATCATGGCGGATCAATTCACAGCACTAAGTCCGCACGTGACTACAAAAACGTCCTGCATGTCGAAATTGTGGTGAAACACTCTCCTTCCTATCTCACGGCCCCGATTGAGGGAACAAAGGTGCAGACTGCGAAGTCTGAGGCAAATTGGTTCATCCTGAAATGAGTTGTTGTGCCTTCCAAGGTGCTTCGCAGGGGTGCTCCATCCCAATTTGCCATAATACCTTGTATTGTTGTCACCCCGACCATGTGTCCGATGTGACCGGTTTCAGCAGAAAACGAATCATTGCGGGCGGTTCATATGGAAGCTCGAATTCTGCTCACTAACATACGCCCAACGCGTCAAGGAGCCCGTTTGCGAGGTCAGCCCGACGTCCGCGTTATCGGTCCCATGGCGGCGACGACTGCGATGAGGTGTCGAACTTCGTGGTGAGATAACCTTCGTAGGGAACAAGCATATATACATCTGGCCACCAACCGACACTGCGCATCGAATTGACTCTCAAGTTCGAACAGGAAAACTCTAGACATAGGATCAAGAAGGTGCATCAGGATCCGAATCAAGTCAAACCCTGGCATCGTTGCCAAGCCCAAGGACCCTCTCTATTCGGCATGGTGATCCAAATCCGGTGTCATCTCGGTTTTGGCTGTTATTTTCAATCCCCACTGCCACAGATATCGATTCTCGGCGAAAGAGACCGATCAAGAAGTGGTAGGGTTTGGAACCAGACTACTAGTAGATGGAATCAGGGACCCCAACGGCGAGACATGGAGGGGGGACGTTGGTGCGGTCTGGCCACTATAACAGCTGTAACTCCTGTTGGTAAACAAGGAGCTTCTAACCAGACGGGTGTAGATCAGAATTCACACCAATATCCCACCCAGAAAGAATAGCTACTTGGTACGTTTAATCCGCGGCTGCGAGCATGTGGTGACAGTTGATACTGATCGCCCAGGCGCGGTTGCGGAGGATGCAGGTTTCAGCGCCTAGCGGGGTGGATCCGGTATCCCTCGGGGGGAATGGCGATCCTGTTGCCAGCGCTAGTGGTGTCACTTTCCACTGTACTCGCGTGTCTTATACTTAGCATGAAACTCATGGCCGTCTGTTTGTTTGGCTTTGGAGTGGTAGCGTCATGTTCAGGTGGGAAAGGGGAAGGACAAGGAAATACATGACTGCCGACGGTCTCTATCTCTGACTGTGGGGCTTTTGTTCGAAGATAGGTGGGCCTTTGTTTTTCGAGGCAGTGTGAACACAGCCAGGGACGCGAGTTTGTGGCAAAATCTCGGAACATCTCAAAGAAGATGTGCCTCGAGCCGCCACAGCCCAGTACCACTTTGTCCAAAGAAATTAAAGTTGGAGTCAAGCGATTGAGCAGCGTGTGGAAGGAGGCCCGCGAGCTTGTAGGAACAAAACACTTAATCATAGGCGCCGAATTCAATCGGACATTGCCGGATGTCCATTGCCAAATTTAGAATTACCTTCAATGTTTCCTCATTGACGTTTGCCGGCCTCAAGTTTTTTCATCTATTTTGGCTGGGTTAGGTGTAAAGTGAATGCGCTTCACTTTGCGTCGTGGTGCCAGACCAGCAACGAGTCAATATATTCCAGGTGACTGTTGCCACTTGCATAGCCCCATGCGCGCGTCCAATCTAAATTAGCCTCTCGGGTACCTTATTGCACTGCTCAAGCCTTTCGGGCCGTTTCGGCTCAAATGTTTTTACAACATCGCATTTCCGTTCACCAGTCTGGTTTACATAGACTCTAGAGCAGGTTGCGGGTGCATTTGAACCAGCGGAGAAACAACCTGTAAGTACTTGAACTTGAAGTGCGGACCCCCCATTCAATTGCGGAGCCGATTACGGCAATTAATGAATGTTGTTCCTCGACGGGCACAGCCTCTCTGACCCAAGAATAAACCACGGAAGTAAATTTCAAGTTGACGTTCAAGAAATGGACACGGGGCTTCCATCAAGTTTCCCTTGTCTCTTTCCCCCTCTTTTAAACGCCTAAACGCCAGCCCCTCGTTCGCTCTTTTTTTTTCCCCTGATTTTCGTCCTCCATCCTCGACCTCGAGAACATTTTCTTTGGGGGGTCGAAACAATGGCCAAAATTACACTCTTTTCGACTTTGACTACAATTATTTTCCTTTTCGTCGCCAAGATACGAGCCGAATGTATCCTTTACACTCCCAACCTGGGAGTAGGCATCACAGATGGACAACCCTTCCAAGTTTACTGGCTGGGGTGTACTGTAAGTATCAACTCACCTCTCGCGGTCTCATTACTTTCCCTCCCATGATCCCGGTTCTGACTACCACCAACAGCCCCCATATGTTGTTAGCTTGTGGGACCAAGACACCAGCAACATCCTGACGACCTACAGGGGAAGCGGGACCAGCGTCTCCTTGTAAGCTTTTCACTTTTTTTTCTTTGGGCGCTTATGGTTACTGAATAAGCACTTTTTCACAACCCCCGTTGCTAGCACTGTGAATCATGGTGTTGGTGTAAATGTATACGTTACACTATCAGATGGTATTGGTGACAAGATCACTAGTGTCCCATACCTTGTCAAGGTACTTTGACATGTTGCTTCATAGTCAAGAGTCCTCTATTCAATTGCTGTTTTCCAGGCTGCCACAGGAGGTGGCGGATCAACCAGAATCTTGTCATCAAATACCGTATGTTTCCTTCCTCCTTTCCCTTCCTCCTTGAACGCACCTCCAATAATTCGATTTACTAAATTATCCATTTCCTCCCATTGTTCTCCGCCATTCCATAGCTCCTTCCATCGGTTAGTGTTGCTGCTCGTCGCATATGCTCGCCATTTGACTGATATTTGGCCCGCTTTACCATTCATCAGCCGACACAAACGTTTACAAACACATTTACCAACACCTTCACCAACACCTTTACCGACACCTTTACCGATACATTCACAGATACCTTTACCGACACCAATTGGCCTTCCTTCTCATTTCCGACAAACACTGACTGGCTGTCGTCTTACTCCTTCCCCACTGACAGCGCTTACTTGAGCTCTATCCTCAGCCACCTACATTCCCTCCCAACCAATTTTCCCACCAGCAGACCTACGGATGGTGGTTCGTCCAAGAAGAAAACGCCCATCGCTGCGATCGTTGGAGGAGCAGCGGGTGGAGTGGTTGGTTTGGCGCTTATCGCAGGGCTGATCTTCTTCATCGTCAATCAATCCAAGAAACAGCAGCGCGATAATGAAGGACTTATGGGTCAGCCTACAGGTCCAGGTGTGCTCGGTTCGCCGCAGATGTCCCAAACCCCTGGAATGTACGGCGCCACTCCTATGGATCCCAATAATTACAATCAGGGTTATCACCCTCAGGGGATAGTCCCTCCGTCCACTCCCTCTGTCCAAGGGTCATCTCCCTTACCGACGAACAATTTTAATGGAGCGTATAATCCTCAGGCCTACGCTCCAACCCAAGGAGGTTCAGACACACAAACTACCTATACTCAGCCTCAGTCATTTGCTAGCCAACCTCAGCAGCAGTACTACGGTGGCGATCCCTTCCCCAGACCTCCGCAAGTATAGTGGCCTGTGTGACCTGTTTTTTTTTTCTTTTGGTCGTCACCATTCTCTTGCCCTACGCGATGGTCTTGCCGATCGGTGGTTGATTTCTCCTAGATTCTTTTCTATTTTGTCTTCCTTCTTTGCTTGCTTGCTTGCTTGTTTACCAGTTTCTTCCCTCTTAACCTTCAAGCTGGTGTTTTTGCCTCTTAACTATTTTGTCATTCCTTTTCTGCGCGCCCGCTTCTTTGCTTGTCGCTCGTTTACAATAATCAAAGCCAACTTTATTCTATGTACCCTTCCAATGTCAAAGTCTCGACATTGTTTTCCTACGACGTCGTTTCCTCTTGGACAACGAGACTCTGTTGTGTTACATTATCCCTACATACGCTTACCTAAATCGACTGGGAGCATAAGCGAGCTGCGCAGAGTCACTGTCAGGAGGCGTCTGGGTAAACTCCCGGTCTTGAACGTCTTTTTCTGCCATTCATATATATATTGTCTCACCCTGCAGCATATATCATGAAGTACGGAGAGGAAGCGGCATGATATTCATTTCTAGAGAAATTGTTTTCATTTTTCTGATGCTTATCACTAAGAACATCAGACTGGTCACCAGGCCAAGTCATCAACATGTTTATAGTGCCGGAGTATATATCGTTTCCAGGATCAGAACCGGTCAGTGTATCTGTGAGCTCTCCCCACTCCACATTGCACGTACATGTAGATCTATATCTGGCCTAGGATTGGTGGGGACTGCTACGTGAAAATGTCTCGGGGTACATATAACACGTGTTGGGTATGGTGGGTGTATGATTCGTCCTTAGGAGTCTAGCAGGAGGGTCCATCCATGCGCTGGCATCATGTCTTCCGGGACCTCTAATACAAGCAACAGAGGAACATGATAAAGCTCATCGTCTTTGGTGTCGGCCCGGTGCTCATAATGTGATTAGCGAAGCTATGGTAATTATCCTTTCGAGATAGTGCTGGGACAGGAATGAATAATGAATGATTGATGTCACATCCTTGCAAGGCTCGAGCACGATGGCCAAGGTTGTAGGTTGGGCTACCATGATGCGGAGTGATCACACCATACGCCGCCGTATGAATGATGTCGGATACGTGGTATCCACTGGGGCAGGAGTTTGGTGTTTTCTCCATCCATGCGGAGTGCATCGGGATGCTGACCGAGTCCGAATTTCTGGGCTGATTGGGCCAAATCAGGGATGAATGATGTCAGACGAACGACAATCAGCTGGAGGGCTCGAACCAAATCTGAGATGCATGATGCCGATGAACGGCAACTAGTTCGCGCCAAAATTTTGACAACGTGTGCGATGGGCGGGCCAAACCAAATGTTAGTTGAGTAATACATAGCACACAGAAAGTAGAAGCACACTGTTCAATGAAACGTAGCGTATTAGCTTGCCAACTAGAGTTCGTGAAACAGCCACGGAAACAGCGGAGTGATGGTGGCAAAGACATCGGAGGGGTGGCAACTACTGGGGAAACAGTTCAATCCTTTCTTCGTTTACAAGGAGGCCCTCGGGATACCGCCCAACATTGTCGAGTGATATATCAAGATTCCAGAGCGCTCAAGTCAAATCAGGGGGGTACGAGGTCGGATGGACGGCAATTGGCTCGCGCCGGAGTTTGATACCTTCTTCGTCCGATGAGAGCGCGTCGGGATGCCGTCCAAGATTGGTGAGTGATGTTTCGAGATTTCGGAGCGCTCGAGCCAAATCAGAGGTGTATGAAGTCGGATGGACTGCAATGAGCTCGCGCCACAATTTGATGCTTTCTTCAATCGCCTGGAGGGCCTCGGAATACCGTCCGAGCTTGAGCAATGACCAATTAAGATCATGAAGCGCTCGAGCCAAATCGGGGGTGTATGAGGTAGGATGGACGGCAACTAGCTCGCGCCATAATTGAACGCTCTCTTCGATCACCGGGAGTGACTCAGAATACCGCCCGAGAGTATCGAGTGACGAGTTGAGATTCCGGAGAGCTCGAGCCAAATCAGAGCTGTATGAGGTCGGATGAATAGCCACTAGCTCGCGCCAGAGTTTGACGCTTTCCTCGATCATCGGGAGCGCCTTGTACTGTCCGAGCTCGAGCAATGTCCAGTTAAGATGGTGAAGCGCTCGAGCCAAATGCGGGGTGTATGAGGTCGGATGGACGGCAACCAGCTCGTGCCAGAGTTTGACACTTTCTTCGATCACCGGGAGCGCCTCGGAATGCCGCCCGAGATAGTTGAGTGATGCTTCAAGACTCTGGAGTGCTAGAGCCAAATCAGGGGTGTAGGAGGCTGGATGGACAGCAACTAGCTCGCGCCAGAGTGTGATGCTTTCTTCGATCACTGGGAGCGCATCGGAATGCCGTCCAAGATTGGAGAACGATATTCTAAGATTCAGGAGAGCTCGAGCCAGATCAGGGGTGTATGGGGTTGGATGGACGGCAACTAGGTCGCGCCAGAGTTTGATGCTTTCTTGGATCGCTAAGAGCGCCTCGGAATGCCGTCCAAGGTTGGTGAGTGATGCTTCAAGATTCCGGAGCGCTCGAGCCAAATCAGAGTTGAATGAGGTCGAATGGACAGCAATAAGCCCGCGCCAGAATTTGATGCTCTCTTCGATCACCGGGAGCGCTTCGGAATAGCGTCCAAGCTCAAGCAATGACCAGTTAAGATCGTGAAGTGCTCGAGCCAAATCAGGAATGTATGAGGTCGGATGGACGGCAACTAGCTCGCGCCAGAGTTTGACGCTTTCCTCGATCACCGGGAGCGCCTCAGAGTACTGTCCGAGCTCAAGCAATGACCAGTTAAGATCATGAAGTGCTCGAGCCAAATCAGGGATGTATGAGGTCGGGTGGACGGCAACTAGCTCGCGCCAAAGTTTGACACTTTCCCCGATCACCGGGAGCGCTGCGGAATGCCGTCCAAGATAGTTGAGTGATACTTCAAGACTATTGAGTCCTCGAGCCAAATCAGGGGTGTATGAGGTCGGGTGGGCAGCAACCAGCTCGCGCCAGAGTGTGATGCTTTCTTCGATCACTGGGAGCGCCTCGGAATGCCGTCCGAGATTGGTGAGTGATGTTTTAAGACTCACAAGTGATCGAGCCAAATCAGGGGTGTATGAAGTCTGATGGACGGCAACTACCTTGCGGAAGAGTTCGACACTTTCTTCATTCGCAGAGAGTGACTCGGAATGCCATCCAAGGTTGGCAAGCGATGCACCGAGATGTCCAAGTGATCGAGCCAAATAAGTAGTGTAGGAATCAGGGTCCGCGGACACAAGGCAACGACAGAGCTCAACAGAGTCATTTGCCAACTCATATGCTTCCTGCAATCTCAAAAAGAATGCAAGATTACGGCGCACATCTCCAAAAACTTTGACCAGCATCTGAATGACTTCTTTTGAAGTTTGATCTATACCCAACTGAAGGAACATGCGACTGGATAAGAATCGGTTATGAATGCAGTTGATAATCCATACCTTGGCCCACTCGGGGAATGATGATATACTAATATACCCTCCGGTCCTCACGCAGACTTCCACCCAGCGCACTATTTGCTGACCGAGGAATGCGCGAACCGACTCATTGAGCACTTCCAGTGGCTCCTGAACTTGATTGAGGTGATGCGCGATGTACCGACATGCATAATACATCTGTTCCGATAGGATCCCTTTCGGAATAGGTGGTAGCTCAGCCTCTTTCGACAAATCCCCCTCAATCAACCCCAAACCTTTCACAGAGGAAAGATCATTCTTCAGGATTTCGATACAGCATAGAGCTACTTTGGCATTCTCCCTCCTCACATCCACTGCAAAGCGGCGAAGTGTTGGTGATTGTAGACCGACCCGCTCCGTGAGAAAATCGCGGAAGGATTGATGCAGGACACGAATCGGTATGCGAGAATCCCCAACTCCCGAGACAAGCGGAGAGAGTTCTGCTAGCGTATAGCGGACGGGAGACTTCAGGTGCGGTGACAGGACGGCATCCCAAGCCACGATGGATAACGGCTGTTGCGCGATTAGGATTGCTCCCATCACAATTGGGTAGTCGTGGACAAAATCGTCGTTCCTCCAGTCGCACTTCTCCAGAACTCTTGTATATAGCCTATCCATCTCACCCTCAGCGGGAACCTTCGATCGATTCGCACCAGTATCAAGAAGCTCCTCCAGCATCCTCATAGGAGGACGACTCGTGTTCTGCATATAGCGGAACACAGTACTGATCCAGATGAACAACCCACCTGCTCGTCTCAATATGTCTTGAACCAATTTATCTTCTTCATCGAGTTCGTCTTTCAAATGGGGATGCACATCCTTCAGCTCACGTAGCTGCTTACGGATGTATATATTGCAGTCCCGAACATTGGCATCGTCCGAGAGATTAATGCTGAGTCGATGAACGACGGAATAGTTCGAGAGATGGGGACCAAGAAGGCCAAATTGCCTTGAGGTAACAAAGAATTTGATATTTGAGGGCAATTTGGGAACCTGTTCCCAAAGTATTTTGGCAAGGTACTTGAATGCTTGTTCATCGCATTCATCCAAGGCATCAATAATGACCATCCCAGGGCTATCAGAAGGCGGTGCCTTCAGACGGAGAAGCTCCGCCACTAATTTCTCGAATTGCATCAGGAAGGAGGCAGTTGCGAGAGTCGGGTCTTTCTGGATGGTGGATATGAGGTAGGAACGATACGTCGGGTCATGCGTTGCGAGCGATCGGGCCATGCCGCTGAACAAATGATCTGGGCGCGATTGCTCTCCAGCTTTGAAAAAGAAACTGAGCAGCAACATCCCTCCTTTGCTGCACTCCTCAGCGATCGAGTGAGCAAGAGATGTCTTGCCGGCGCCGGCCACGGCTGTCACCAGTAGGACACGCTTCTCGCTATTCCCCGTGTTACGACACCAGGACATAATGTCCTCAATCAAACCAGTCCTCGTGCCATCCAAACATGCCTGAGTTAAATCGTGATGGGCGACGGCAGGATATTGGAGTTTGTCCAGAACTGAGGAATT